AAAAGAAAAGAGAGAATAAGGTCTGGAGAATGATGTTGTGAAAGCCTAAAGAGAAAGGGGAAGAAGTAAAGAAGCTGACAATCGATAAGGAAAAGGAAAGAGGAAGACAGTCTGTGCTAAAAACAGGGTGAACAAAGGAGAACACAAGGGAAAGAAACTAATACAAAATAGAAAACAAACAAACAAACAAACAAACAAAACCCAAACCAAAACAAAAGTGTAAAAGTATGGCAAGAAAAGGGTAAATTACTGCCCTAAAGGTAATTCATTTCATACCCATAGGTCCTATGGGAGGGCTTTAGGGGCAGTGATTTGCTTCTCTCACTCCAGTCAGAAGGAGAGTGGATTTTGCACAGGTGGTCACACTGCCTGTCCCACATACAGGGGACTGGGGGGGCAAGGAGCCACCAATCCTCCCCATTGCTCTGTGTGCTCCTATCACAAATAAGCTGATGGATATGGATATTCAGTGCTGATGTGAGGGCCCTTGAAGAGAGCCAACACTGTGGCTTTTCTGTAGAAATCACCACCCAGCATGAAAAGAGGGCTTCAGTGTATGCCTCATCTGCTCTGGCCTGTCTACTCACTGTAAACCAAGGAGAGTAATGTGATCCTTCTGGCAATTTATCCCTGGGGAAAGGCCAGAGCCATGTAGCACTTATGTATTAATTTAGGATATAGAGGGTCTATAGGTCTACTACTGACCCCCATATGTTTAGATTAATTTAATTCATACCAAATATATAAGCATATCTTTAATCTCACTTAATTCTGCAGTGAGGAGAGTGAATCCAAAGTTCAGACTCCGTGGATAACTAAGCAGATGGACTTACTTATTCTACTGTGGCAGTCATTCTAAGTATCTGTATTTTCTGAGGTCTCTTATTTCACTAACATATTCAGATTTTATTTGGAAGTAATTGGAAGAGTCCTTCCCTATTAGAAAAATCTCATTTTCTTCCCCATAGATGGAAGCAGTTGCTTTCTGACTAAAACAATGTAAACTCAGCTTTAACACCTTAAGCACTCTATATAAATTTTAGGGGGTTTGCCACTCTATTAGTGAAGCTAAAATATTTTTCAGAAGGAAAGTGAAAACTTACTAGACTAATCATTTTCCCTCCAGAGAAAAAGCTGCTTAATTCTACGGATTTTGCATCTTTCTGAATTTTAGACATTTGAACAGTGTAAACAACACCATCACCATCTTCACTACATACTCTGATAATGCTGGAGTTCTATCAATAATATACCAGGGAAGTCACCTTTACTTTTGTGTCAACGTTAAGAAAATTTAAAAAAAAATTTTTTTTACTTTTTTTTTATTCTGAAAATGTTCTACAAGACCAGTTCCTACCACAGTAAATCACCATTTGTTCACGTTTTTGTAATTTTGCAAGCCATAAAATGACTGGGCTTCCTTAGATGGTGATTTTGACAATATGCAAGCAGGGAGCATTCTCATGCTAATTGACAAGCCTAAGCTATTCACAAAAGAAAGCTCCTGAATAGCGTAAAAGTTGCTAGTGGATTGAAGCAGAGGAGGGACAAAGGCTGGTTTAAAACTAGTTTTGCTATTCCAAGGTTTTATGAGTCTTTGCCTTGTTTCTACCTTCCTTTTAAGTAAAAATAGTTATTTTAGACCACAAGATACTAGACGTCATATTATGCAAGAAGGCACCTTGTGGTAAGCATGATGATCAAGCATAAATATTTGCAGAAATAATAATTACTTGAGTCACAGGAAAGCATGAAAGCAACATCTCATTTAATATGATAGATGGTTTTTAAATGCATTTGCAAATCCTATTTTGCCTTCATGAAAAAAAGACAGTTTTTATCAACAGGACTAGAAATAGTCATATAACAGTAAATAGTCTTATAACAGTAAATCAGAAATCCACAAAAGTTTTTGAGGTACAAATTTGGTTTATAAGAATCCACCACCACATGCTGTTCATTAAATATTTTATTTTTTTTACCAAGACTAGATTACAGAAGTTCCAACACATGAATGAAAGATAAATTGTATTTATCTTGGTACAGTGGAGGAAAAATATTCAATTTTTTTTAATTAATAAAATGATGATGCTACCAAGAAAGATGTAGAAAAACTATGGGAAGACAGGGCAAATTAAATAAAGGTTCATCCTCACAGCAATTCCCTCCACACATTAGTCCAACAAAAGACCTCTGCATCATTTCCTTCCCACCTAAGGTCTAATGGTTATTTGTGCTTCTTAAATACTGTGTTGCTCCTCCATAAATGGTAAATTTCAAACCTGAGTATACTACTTGGGGAAATAAGGGATTCCTGATGCAGGGCAAGATCAAATCTATATTCATGATGCATGAAAAAATTCCAAAAGACTTGAACAAGCCTGGTATCAGGTCTATATTAAGGAGCTTAGCGTGATCAGGTGCCAGTATTACTCATGGAGTAATTTTCAAAGTACAAATAACTGGTATTAAAAATAAGACAAAATATTGTATTGTAGAACTTTCCCCTTAGCTTCTCCCACGTAGAATAATTGAATCACTGAGTCTGGAGAAGACCTCCAAGATCGAGTCCCACGTCACACCATATAAACTAAACCATAGCACTAAGTGCCCTGTCTAGTCATGGTGATTCCACCGCTTCCCTGGGCAGCCTGCTCCAACATTTAACAACCATTTCAGTGAAGAAATTCTTCCCCTGACACAGCTTGAGGTCATTTCTTCGTGTCCTGTCACTAGTTGCCTGGGAGAAGAGGCCGATTCCACCTTACCACAACCTCCTTTTAGGAAGTTGTAGAGAGTGATGAGGTCTCCCCTGAACCTTCTTTTCTCCAGGCTAAACAACCCCAGCTCCTTCAGCCACTCTGTTTCATTCATCGTGGGAAATAAATGTGATTGCTCATTTGCAACAATCACTGGTACGTACAGTCAGTGGCCTCAGGTCCAGTGACAGTGACTTCGCTATCAAGTCATCAAATTATATTACGGGCAAACACTTCTCCCATTGAAGCAAGTGACAAGACTATATCTTACATCAATGAAAGCAGGTGCTCAACCTGTTTCTTTCACAAAGGAAATATCTTTAAAAATAATAGAGGCACATGTACATTACCTTTTAAAGCACAGTTTAAGGTTACCCTACATTATGTACAATTTTTGAAGTTGGAAAGGTGATGAAGCGACAATAGCAGCTGCTATAGAGATGGCACATCTGATTCCTGCTATAACTGATTCTCAGACAAAGAGAGACACTTCAGGAAAAGAATAAAATAATATAGAGGCTAAAAGAAATGGTACCTATCTATCATGCACAACACAGAGTGCATATATACACAGACAAATCCAGCTCACCCACTACTTCAGTACTGCCACTGAAGTTTATAGCATTAATCATGTAAAGAAGAGAGCAATTTCATACATAATTTCATTCATAAAAGCTTATAACTGATTTGACATTTATCCTTTGCAAGGGAGGATGAGGGAAAGGGGGATATCTCTTATCTGAGCAGGTCAAGGCTTTAATTCCTGAAGAGAAATACCACGGAATCCACCAAGAACTTAATTTATTTGGGCCTAACTATTGCTGGAGTTGCTGTTCCCATAATCAGTAACAGTGGAAAACCCTGAATTCAATTAACTCCATGTTCCTTTGGAGTCAATTTATGGCCAAAGTAAAAAAGATTCAAGACCACAACAGGTACCAAGGATGCAAAAAGCACTCTACCAGATCCTGCTCCAAAGTCTTTGGATTCAATTTATTGTAAAGTAATGATAATTGTTGAACCTATGTTATTAAAATTTAGTATCAAGAACCTCTCAAACATCTGAACACAGAACCACAGGATGCATTCACTTCTTGCCCTGAGAAGAAAATGAGTCAAGATTGGAATAGTGCTTGTCTAGTTTATATGTTGGAGTATTTTATATGTGAAAGAGTTGAGCTTGTTATTTTTGTGCAAAGCAGATCTAAGTCTACATAGACACCACATTGTAGTTTATTTTCTGCATCAACATAGAGAAATTCTGTCTAACTATTTTATGGGGAAGTTATTAAAACAGGATTTTTTTTAACAGAAGATTTATAATCTGTTTGAATATTTAGTGGGTAGCTCAGAGAATATTTTTTGTATATATATACAAATATATATATGCACACACATACCAAGACTTTTAGATCAGGCTGAAGAAAGGCATAAATGAGAAACCTCTAAGTGAAACATCTAGTCCACAGTTTCTCAGACTGCAGTATACACGAATTTTCAGTTATATGCCTTCTTCTGCTCCTGTACATAGCTGAGAGGGACTGCTGCTGCTGCTGACACCACTTCTATACCAGGAAGTCTGCAGACTTCTGAACCAAATTATGCACCGTATTTCATTTATGCCAGCCCAGACATTTTCATTAGCCAGTCAGGTGTTTGTAGCATCCCCATGTTTGTGCCAGCCTAAACATGTTCAGTAGACATTAAAAAGAAAAAAAAAAAAAAAAAAAAAAAAAAAAAAAAAAAAAAAAAAAAAAAAAAAAAAAAAAAAAAAAAAAAAAAGGAGAAAAAAAAAAAAAAAAGAAAAAAAAAGAAAAGAAAAGGAAAACTTGGAGGGGTTTTGCATAGTTCTTTGGGGAGTGAAGGTGAAATCTTGGCTGTATTCTGTCAACAACAAAACTCATAGAGGTGTTAATGATGCCAGAACACAACCACATAAGGACTATTCCTGTTGGTACAAAGAGAGGTAGCATTCAAAGGAAAGCCTGAGTAGCTGAGTGCCAAAATTAGACTTAAAAGTCACTTTTAAGATATTTTTGCTCACAGGCTCAAACCCCAATACAGTCAAGTGATGGCAAGAACAAATAAACTTCAAGAAAGAACACACAGGCTATCCACAGACAAAATTGACCACGATCTGTGACATTTTTTTCTGGATGAGACCTAAAACTTGCCCTGCACATTGTTAGTCATCTGTCTTTTTAAGCTTACAGAAAAAGAAAATCAGACAGCATACACTGGTAAGACAAAACCTGATTTACTGCTATAAACAAAGCTTACTGCCAGTATAGTTTTTCCATTGAAGATTCTCTTTTTCTCACCAATTTTGGTGATGTTAAATAAATATTTAACATCAGTACCTAGGTAGGAAAATACTGTTTCTTTTCTAATCACCATGGAAGAAGAGAATACCACAATTTCAGCACCCAAACCCAGAGCTCTGTCACTGGGAAAGAGACCTGAAAGTTGATAAACAGCTAGCACCAGCACAGTAAGCCAGTCATGGGGAATCTCTACACAGTCACTTACACACTATTTCTGCACATGGGTCCAAATCCAGCAGGAAGAATGCCAGCTCCAGCCTCAAAGTTCTTTGGGATCCATGTTTTTAATACCAGTCCTGATTTATTACCTCAATTCTACCTGAGTTTCTTACATAACTACATGGCTTTTGGGATGAAAACTGGCTCCTACCTTTCTGCTTTACAAAAAACAACAGATGAAAGTAGAGTGTAGTTGAATGCGTAAATACACCCCGAGTGCACTTTCAGGATCCTTTCTATGGCATTCTTTCCTGGAAAATGAGAATTCTTTTGAAGAAGTGCTGAAGTAGCAAAAAAATAATAGCTGCAGGCTTGAAAGCTAAGAGGCCAACAGCAGTACAACCACCCAACCAGGTAAACTGTTTTCCCACAACAGGAGTACAATATAGATTTGATGGGAAGGGGTAAATGCATGACTAGGAATAAGAAGTTTCTTGGCTAATATGGCTCTCTGCAATTAAGAAAGTATGTACTGACTATTCAACAGGAGAAGTTTCATGAGACATTTTTTTCTCAAAGACACCAATTACAGTTTTTGCTGTTCTAATTATTATGATTTAGTAGAAACTGTCAAACTACTCAGCAAGACACAAAACCCAGGTGAAACACATACTTTGCCCTAAAAATCTTGAAATCTAAATAAGACAAGCAATGCTGTCCAAACCCATAATGTACCAGATCCTCACCAAAAGGCATTACGCTCAAACAATACAGTGCCTTTTGTTTGTTTGTTTTTAAAACAGCGTTTATGAGATTGATTAGAACTGTAAAGTAGTTACTCTATCACTTATATGATTTGTACTTCACATACAAAATGTAGAATGAAGGTATAAAACACATCATACAGAAACATAGATGTAGTTAGTAACAAAATACCTCATTCATTTTAACAGTTTGACCACAGTAAGGTTTCATTTCCCAGCTTCCAGCCTTTATATCTATACTGTTTTTAAGCTGTGTTTTACAAATACAGGAAGCACAAACACTACTAGAGAAAATAAAACTGTAATAAGTGTACACAAAAAGAATAATTTTCCAGTTACTGGTATTTTCTTTTCCTCTAATCTTTCCCCTCACAGACTATTTTTTAAAATAATTGGGTTTGGGATTTTTTTATAGATTATTTTAGCCCAAAATAATATCTTCATATTTTTTAATACTTTCTGTATATATTTCACAGTAAGTCCTGAAAATACGTTATTTTAATAGACACACTGAACATCTAACTACTAGCAGAAATCAAGCCTGTGCAATCTATAAACATGCAATTTCAGTTAATGCAAACATAGCAAAAACTGTGGGCTAAGTATGTATAACTGTAATAGCAAAGCTCAAGGACGCTAAACTCGCTTTCATGATAAGGCAGGCTTGAGGTTTCCTTTGATCCATAAGAGATGAGTTGTAAAAGGCACTTCTGTTCACTTCTGTTCCCCTGCTCAGGAATGAAGAATTCCTTTTGCTGCATTATGCATAACATCATTACTAACAAGGTACAAGTCAAGAGCAAGTGGTTCAGATATCCTACCAGCATACTAAAATAGCAGTAGGACTATAAAATTATTTAGGTACTATATCACACAGCTTTTCTTTAAATACCACTTATGCCATCACATGTGCCAGGAACCTTTCTTTTTAAGTGTTCTAAATGTAAAGTTTCTGGTATCTATTCCCTGGAGGCAACTTCAACTAGAATAGGCAGGTTGGTAGAGCAGATGACTATCTGTTCCTTACAAACTATGTCTGATGTACTGTGCTAGTGATAAAAAGCTCCTTATCAGTTTGGATTCCAACCTAAAGGCAACTGCCGTCCAGATCTTACAGTGGAAGATAATGTGATGTAATTAAAGCTCATGACCTGCAGATACAGCATGCCAAACATCACTTGCTGTAGTCAGGACTGGAAATTTTGGTTATAAATTTACTGAGGAGATTTTTCTAATCTATAAGAAGAAATACTGTTCAGGCCTTTCTTTTTCCCTTTAACATTCAGAGACACACTTTCTCTCTCTCTCCCCCCCCCTTTTTTTCCCTTCTCAGATACACTAGTGAGACACATTTAAAACACTTCATGAACACAGTCTATATATAACAGTTGTGGTTTTTTGCATCCACTTGAAAACTTTCCCAAATTTATTCTAGGCTCTCTAAGAATGACAGTTCAAGCATTCAGTAGAGATTTACTCAATTTTAGCAATAAAATTTTAAACCAAATTTCCACATAGTATGCTAAAGCCTCACACAATTTTTATGTGCAATTGAACTGGATGAACTGGTAAATTAAACTGTGATTGGGAATGTTCTCAGACAGTGGGACACAGTTGCCTCTGAGTGTATGTGAGGTAGCATTTTAGTTCAGATCAGGGTGCACTACTGAGGCAAATCTCCCAGTAGTTCCCACTTCCTGCACTTTGGTTCACATCATGTTTGGAATGTGCAAAATGAATTCCTTTCAGATAAAAATAAACCTGGAGGAACAGTCTCAGAGGGCATCTAATGCACTTTGACTGCTAATGGACATTCTGTCTGCAGGAGCAGGCTAGACTTAGGAAACAGTAAAACTTTGAAATACAAAGACTTTGAATGCGTGTGGATGTAATCCTCAATACCAGAAGTTTTCTGCCATGGATCTGTTCTTATTGGGCCTTTTTCTAACCTAGGCAATCCCTAACTTTCCAAACCATTTCCTGGCACACTTTTGGTATACATGCCATCCAGCACTCATACAAAAAAGAATCCCAAACCAGCTGGGGAATATAAATATTCCCAGGATCATTTCCAACAGGCACTTTTTCACACAGCCATCTAGTTACAGAGAATGATGGAATTTATTAGCAGGAACATGTTTTGTTTTCTGGTCCAGCAGCGGAGCCTGGGAACATTTTCAGGCACTTCTAATTAGTTGGTAGAGTGGTCCCCCACGTACAATGATGGTCACCCATGCAGAGACAAAAGAGTGGACACTTTTATCTCCAGCTCCTTTCTCAGATCTTCCAGGCAAGGGTGAGGATGGTAGCTGCAATAAAGAAAAAAAAGGAGCCATAGGTAGAGCACCTCATGTCATAATCAGCTATTTTTAATGTGTTTCTATTATTCTATCTCAAATTCACACTGTCTGACAACCTTACAGCTGTTAGTCACTCTATTGGTTTCTGTGACAGAGGTCACAGTCCATCCAGATGTTTTGACTTGACCAAATAGAATGTGAAACAGAATCACAGAATGAAAAATGGAACGAAATTGCCGTATTCAAGAGCTCGGGGATTTTTAAACGGAACTTGACATTACCTATGCCCTCAAAATCTTCTGTGAACTCACCATCCAGCCCACGTGTCAGAAACAGCACTGAGTTTTCAGTACACAGTTTTGCAAAAATAGCAAACATCTACTTAGGCTCAGTGATCCTTCCATTGCAGTCAGAAGCTTCCAATTTGCATAGGCCTTCTTCGAAAGGTCTGAGCTACATGTCTAACACCCAGTGAAGACCTCTCCAGCTAGTAAAACTCACCTATACCCATACTTTAAACTATCTCCACACTGTCAAGTTTTGCCCTTGTTATGCTTCTCCTGGTGCCGTCACGTACCACATCCATCCCACAGTCCTTCACAATGCCCTGTTTAGCACTTCCTCAGCCTTCAGCCCAAAAGTGGAAAGCCTGCCCCATCTCAGCCTCACCACACACACCCCTGCATCTCCCACAACAACCTGGTGCCACCCACTCTGCTGTCACTGCAGTAGTGTGCTCTCCATGCCTTTGGGATAAGTATCTCAGACACTCACACATAAGCATCTCACGCCTTTGAGGAGGCACTGCAGACTTCTTTGTTTTAACAGACATTTGAGACGGACAGAAAGAAAAATGGTGTAGAGAGCTGGGGCATATGCTGTTATTTAGTTTTGTAGCTTTAAACAACTAACAGAGTTCTTAGAACACGGGGTAAGATTTGGTATGCTTTTTGAATCACATAAATAAATTTTGTCAGCCTGATCTGGGGGGGACACACTTTCAGTGATGCCCAAGGGATTTGGGAGCACACATCCCACTGACTTAATTAACAAAGCACATTAAGAAAATACTGAAGTGTTCATTTCCAAATATTTAAACCCAGGTTGAAACATAGCTGGTTTTCTTACCATTATATAGCTGACATTTATTCACCATGTGAAAGATAATGTCATCATTTAACTACCTGCTAGCTGTTTTTATAACTCTCTTAATAAATTATCTAGCACCACCTCTTTCCTTTATCTGTACTACCAGTTACCAAGAGTAGATTGTCACAGGGTCAGCTTATTTTTGGTATAAAGCAGTTATTTAATAATTACTAATTATTTTCTCTATCCCCTGGCTGCTTATTGTCTTTCTGTTTTGATACTGCTTCAGGGAAGCAGAAGCATCATATTTAGATTGTGGAAACCTTTATACAGTCAGAAGAATCTGGCCCCTAAGCAGACCTTTTCTATTCAGCTCCTAACTGTTCATGGAGGAATTCATTAAATTTCAAAAGAGAATAGAAAAACAAACTGGCTTCTCCAGAGAAGTAAACAACACAATTACAAGAACTCTATTTCAAGCTAGACATAAAAAGCAATCACCTAGAATAATAAAAATCATACTCCAGATGACAGGAAACAATAGACTCCATACTGTGTATATATTCACTTCTGCCTTTTATAGACTGATCATAGTACAGGACATAAGGCTGGAATTTAGTCTGAAAGTTGTCATACCTGACTTCAGAGTTATTATTATCTGTGTAATCTACTTAAGTAGTGCAACAAAATTATGCAAAGCTATGTAACAGACTAAGCAATGGAGGATAGTGAGACCAGCTCTCATGTTATTTATATACTTAGGTAGAAACACAGGTCTCCCTGGGATCTGCATATCATCATAGGACATTGCCAGATTCCTCCAGAGGGCAACTCAGAGCAAAAGCCAATAAAACCAAACTATGTCAAGCTGCAAAAATTGGAAGCATTTCTCACTTTCCAGGAGGCCCAGATACCTTCATCTTGGGGGGGGTGGGGGGTGGGGTGGAGGGGTGGGTGTAGGGGCCAGGAATGGGGGAAAGGAAAAAGAGATTCTGTTCTCCCTCCCCTTCCTGTGAAGCAGAACCCAAGCTGATCTGTGTTGCCTCTGGTGAAGGCTCAGCCTTCCTGCTGGCTCTGTAGGAGAGATAACTCACAGAGGCTCTGTTTCAGCTTTTACAGAAGACACACAGGTTTATGTGAGGGGTTCAAAGCTACCAAAACCAGCACAGTGCAGCATCTCTCAGTGCATCTGTGTGGCCACATAGACCCTCTACCTGCCTCCTCAAGCCCTGGCCAGGTCCAAAGCAAGCATGGAGTTACACCAAGAGACACCACTGGATCTGGGCCTGCTGCACATTATAGTTACACACCTGTGTTTTGTTTGCTGTTTTAGACAAGCTGAGTAGGACATAAGAGTATCCTAGACATGTTGTTTCCATTTTCTGGATCCAAGGATGTACTGTGTCCTGAGTTTTCCTACAGAACTGTGCCATGGGAAATTAGGAAGAAACTTTAGCTTACTATATGATGCAAAGCATATACAGCTATTTTGCATCTCGTCTTCAAAAAATGTATTTGTTTTCTTCTTCTGCCCTTCTCTTCCCAAAGTTCAATCATTCCGCTCTGTCAAAACTCCCTTAAGTACACCTCAGTTGTATTCTCATTGCAGACTGCAGGATTGCAAAGAGGCTGAAAAGGAGGCTTTTCTGCATCCAGACCTGCCTGAAACTCAGCAATTTTCATCCTCAGATTTTTATCAGTGGTATCCTTGGGTTTAGTTTCTAGGGGGTTGTTTCTCATGAAACTCAATTTGAACTCCAGGCTTAAATAAACCAAAATAACTCCAAGTGCAACATAGTTAGAACAAAAGCTGAACCTCAGCATGTTAGATACATGTAACCATAAATCAGTCAAAATTCACTCAAAATTAACCATAGGTTTACCTGAAAGGTTCACAACTTTAGCTAACCTTTTGATAAACCTGGCTCAGCTTTCAGAATGTGTGGGTGCAAGTTTTATAATACGAGCTTTCACAGCTCAAGTCATCACCTGCACTCTGCACTCTGTACATGCATTACAAAACAAGCACTGGTTCTGGTCTCCTCTATAATGAGATAAGTCAGATAGCCCAGCCGCTTGGAGTTGAGTTACTTCTCTGAAAAAACATCCAAACATCCTGCTCAGAGCATTTATATGCTGTTCTTAAAATAATGGCTTGAATTTACAGAGAAACTCAAGCTTACTAGGTAGATCATAATTCTCAGAAATTCAAGTTTACTTGGTAGATCATAATTCTCAGAAGCAGAGTGCATATCGACTGGCTTTTTTGTATAAATATGCCAACTTCAGGAAAAGGAAATAGAAAGTTTTAAAACTAAAACCTGAATCACAGATTTAATTTGATAGCAAATACTGTTAGATACAAAGTACACTTTCTAAAAGCATGATGATTTCAGTGAAGTCCTTACTTTAACTTTCATGTTCATTTTTCTAGAGAAAATTGTTTCATTTTCAGAGTGAACTGTCTTTTGCAGCTGCTTTTATGCCTGCAGCTTTGTGTAATCTGAAGTTCCACTTATTGAAGGCGGATGTTCTCTTGAGATTGGTCTCTCTCAGTTCCACACAACACCCACTTGACATTTGCTGAGGACAAGAAATAAAGCAAAGGATATAGTATGGTTAAAAGTCAAAAGCTATAAATACTTTCAGCCTTTGAAATATTCAGCATCTTAATATGGTTACATACAAAGTTCAAGTAAAAACCACTCAAGGTTCATTTCTTTATGTTGTGCCTAGTTTGTGCTTTGAACTAATATAATATTCAGAGTTTGGTTTGCTGATTACTTAATGTATTTATGAACAGAGATCAACGCTGAAAAGTCAAATCAGATTAATGCTTGTGCACTAATGTTAGGATTCTCACATCACTCGTAGCAGTTTCTCACATTGCTCAAAAAAACCACTCTTATAAATCTTTTATTTTTCTCACAAACTGAGATGGTTGTTAACCATTCGCCAACGCTCAGATCTACATAGTCAAACATCCTTTCCTTAATTAGTTTTCTAATTCCTGCTAAAATCAAAAGCACTTAGGCAACTTTAATTTTTGGGTACTTTGATACCTTTCTGAGTGCAAATTCTCAGCTACTGCATAAAGATAAGAAGAAAAATAGTGAGGTTGCTGGAGACAAGCGTGGAGAGCGAACCAAGGCTAAATGCAAGAAAGTCATGGAGCACTGACTCCTTGGATTACATTATAACTGTTTGCATAGCATTAACATTCCCCGCACACACACAATATACAAAAAGCATGTGAAAGGTGACCAACAGTGCCTATTTAACCCAGGTCCCAAATTTGATACCAATTTACCCTGCACACACAGTCTTATAGAAAAAGGCTAGACCCCAGATGTTTGAAGGTGGAGCTCCTACACAGGGCGGATAACCAGGGAAATTCTCTTGGGCCCTAAGGGGAGCAAAGGATAGTGCTCATCTAAATTAGGTAGAGGTGTAAGTCATTCAACAGGTGGGTGTGAAGAGGTGTGGCTCATGCCTAAATCTTTGCCTAAGAACCCAGCTGTCTATTGACAGCACACTGCAAAGGTATTTAGGTGTCTACCACTCCTTCCAAGAAATTAGTTTAGAGCCTATATTGTATCTTAGGTACCTACCTGAACTTTTGGGGTCTTGGTTGGCTTTCAAAATATAGGTCCAATTCTCTCTATTCTGTTGGGAAAAAGAAATATCTTTTGTCCCTATATGTTGTAAGAATTAAATCATGAATTTTGGTACAATGCTGTGAAAAATGGTGGACATTATTTGAAGGGTAAATAGAAGTATTATATTCTTTGTGGTGTTAAGCAAGTTGTGTAACTTTGCTGGACCTGTGCCAGAGCTGAGCTCCAGTAGTTCATGAAGGAGCTCTGTTAGTTCTTGCAATGATAAATCAGGCTAAATGAAGGAAGCATTCCTGTTCCTGGCAGGTACATTCCAAAACTGGCTGCAGTAAAATGAAATGAACTCCCTCTGTGCAGATTCACCTTTGATAGTATCTGAAAAAACACTTTTGTCAGCTACTATACATGTCTTTTTACTGGCTAAAGGTCTTTCAAAGATTCCTGGAATGTCTGGTCATAAAATGACAGACCAAAGCTACTTGATCCCTCCATTTTCCTATTTAGGATTGTACGTGCCATTTTTAATACCGGTAGTGATAAAATCATACTTTCAGTTAAGCTGTGGTCATTGTACTCAAGAGTTAAGCATTTAACCACGCAGTTTGTCTGGAGTGTTTGACAGCAACATTGTTCTTGAGAAGATTTTTGACAGAGGTATTTTATCCATCATGTTTATAGTGAAATCAGGCAAGTGTCTCTGACTGAAAGCTGTGCTAGGAGGAAAAGAGCAAATTAGGATGGAGAAGGTGAAAGGAAATACTCATCCAGTGGATGGCTGAGCAGCATAGACCCAGAAGGCTGAATCACTGAGCAGCAGTTTTAGGAAGCAGAAAATTCTTGAGCTTGCTAATAGTGACTCAGTTCCAGTTCCTGTAAGTGTGGACAACCCTCCTTCAATTAGTCTGCCAGTGCTGCAAATTCAATAGCATGCTCACAGCAGGTCAAATTGACATAATGTTAAAACACAGGTCACTCTACTGTGCTAAGACTCCCAGTGCTACTGACACTTGCTGAGATGACCTAGTGGTTGCATACCAGCAAGTGACACATTTTTAGAATAAGTCTCCAATATAAAGGGTTTTTATAAGGCAGGAAAAAAAGCTAATTAGTTACCTCAGCAGAGCAGTAGGAGGAATAGAATTCATTGTTTCTGTGAGACCACAAAAGTGCCTGAAAGGCTTTTTTTTGTTTGTTTGTTTTTAATATATCTATATTGAAGCAATTTTTTCTCAGTCTGGGTACGTGCACTCTAAACCATTTTCTCCATGTAATAATTTTACTTTGCTGAGAGGCAGGATCACCTGGGGAGGGGTAAAGGACTGTAGAAAAGCTAAGTTGTTTTCTATGTCCAGTTTTTCCACTTAAAAGCCTGACAGTGCCCCTTTTCATCAAACTTTGTTTATTTGTTTGCTTTTGATTTCAAAGGCTTTTTAACAGATTTGGACAGAAAAGTGAAAACAGCAAGTGTTTGATAATTGCAATCTTTTGCAATCAAATTTATGACATTTATAAATATAGATGCATGGATTAAAATTCCTAGACAATGGAATATTTTTATTGGCCAACATCCTAGGCTGCATACCTGGTATGCTGAGGTATAATCAAGCATTGGGTAGGGTTTTATGTGTGAAAGCAATGCTTGACTGGATTTAAATGGTTGTGACTGGAGCCGATATGATGCATAGTTGGACATAATGTTCATAATTGCCTATTTTTCTTGGCAAACAACAAGGTGCTTGATGAGTGCTTTCTGAAATGTGCACATCTATTTCTTTATGAAGTGTACCAAAATTTAACAGCAATTCTAAACAAGCTTGTGTTGTAACCCTCTGAGAGAATGCATTCCTTATTGGCTTAATTTCCTCATTACAGCAGCACTGCATATCTCCTCTGTCAATGTGGAATCTTGGTCTGTTTTGAATGACAATTCCCACAAACACCTTTTACTCTTCTATTGCACTCTTCTTTTTCCTACACACGTCCCAATAACTATCATCAAAATTCAGCCAAATCTGCAAGCAGTCTCACATGTGTTCCTCAGACAGACTATTTTATCTTTCTTCGTTAGCATTTGACACAATCCAGAAGAGGTGTTTAGAGACAGGCATCACAGAGCTATAATGACTCCAGCCAACTTGACACAAACGTGCACATACACACATTTTTACTCCCCAAGACACAGTTCTGCCTCAGAAAGGCTTATGTTCACTACCTTACTTGCAAAATGCATGAACATTTTTGAAACAGGAATTAACAGGAGAACAGCCCTAATCCTCTTCAAGCAAGGCTCCTAACATTGCCATAACACTAAAGTACTCAAAGACCCTTTACAAATGTTGAGACATTCAGGAAGCCTTGCCTGTTCTATTTTATTTTGGGTTTCCTTCAGAATGATCTGAGGTCTTTATTGTATTTATCCACATTTACCTCCTGGGATATATCTCACAATGCTCTGATGATTCCTCAGTCATATAAATCTGCCACATGTAAGACTGTACAATGACTGGAATCAGGAAACATGATCAGTTTCTTCTCTCAATCCTCTCTGTTAGCATCTGACAGCAATATTTGCTCAATCTGTCTTTTAGATGCCCTCTCTTTAACTTACATGGATGTCCTTACTCCATGCCAACCTACTTTCTTGATAGCTTGCTCCAACTTCTTCTCCCAGGAGTGAAAAAACAGCTTAGCAATTGCCAAATTCACCAAATCAGTACAATTCACACAATTTCCCCTGAGTTTTGACAAATCACAGCCGTTTCCAGAAGAGATGGAACACTGAGTTGGCTTGTGCACACAGTTGTCTCAGTCGATCTTTGGTGTAAATACAAGACACCTGATTGACACAGATGGCAGAAAGGCTTCAACACTGGAAGAGAACTATTCATGTGCAAAGTCACTTGAAGAGGTGGAAAGGTTCCATATAAGATTTGGTGGGATTTTGGCACTGAATAATCATATGTTACACATCTATTATGCTTCTCATAAGTGGGCAGACACTCAAACTCTCTCCCTATCTTCATAACTTAGAAGTTGTCACTTCCAAGGCAGGGTGTCAGAGGGATTTGATAATTCTCTTATGTTTTATATAATAGAGGTTATTTAGACAGCTGACATGTAAGACTGCCCCTTGAGAAAAAATAAAGAACATATCCATCTGGAAAACCAAATCTCTTGTCTTATGACAGAGCATGAGCAGTCATACAGTCCCTCCCTTAGTAAGACAATGTCTGAGCATCAGAGGAAGAAAACGATTCCTCAAAAACAAAGAATTCATTAAAGTCCTAGTGCTCTAATGTGAAAACCTCCTGAAGACTTTGCCTCAATGCAGAGGAAGAAAGCAAGCTGTGAATTTACGTCATAAAAAGCCTCAGTCTAAAATGTTGGAGGAGACACCATTAGGCTCCTGAAAAGACAGCAGTCAAAAGCAAAGAGTTTTTCCTGGATCATCAACTGCCCATGAAGAGCCAGGAGGTATGGTTGTCTGGGGTGGGTAAGCCATAGATTGAGTGTCCTTCTGTGTTTCTCAACAAACTTACTTCCACACAGCCAAAAATAATGAGCTGGCAGATGGAAATGTCTTTTTCATCTCCACAATATTCCTCTTTTTAGGCCAACTGTAGAGCAAGAGGAAAGTCCCTGTTGTGGGGGAGGAACTATTTCTTCACCTAACCATGAGCTGGTGCCCCAGACATCATCCAGAATATTTAAAGCATGCATTCACTTTGATAGAGTTACTGCATTTTTGATACATTCTCCAGTAGAGCTGAAGATAAGGAAAGAGTTCCTAAAACCACCTAGTAATGTAATTTCTAATCATATAGACAGAGAAACTTTATGAAACTTACTTACGGTAAAGTTGAAATTCAGACTCTCATCTAATATTCAGCAAATTTACCTTTAAAAGACATAGACTTCACAGTCCTCTGAGACCACTCCACTCCACTCCACTCAGCAGACTCCACAAGAAATAGCAGACATTCCCTCACTCTTTTGGCAGATTTTTAGCGTAAGAGAAAAGAAGATGGAGCTTGCTGATTCTCTTTGAGTATTGTAAGGCTCAGGATTTGCTGATGGTTTTAAACTGCTTTCTTAAAGAGGACTAAGAGGCTGTGCACATACACTCGTTTCAGTCAAGTAGACAGTTGCAAATCAGATGGTTCTAAGCTAAATAAGAGTGTCTACATGAGATTTACATTCATTTAAGTGAATTAGTTTACTGAAAAGGCAGAGATTTGCATAAAGATGGGATTTCACCTATCCTGCTCCCAAACAGCTGTGCTTAGTTCTGTTTCATGTGAAAAGGGCAAAGAAGGAGAAGGGGAAAAATATCTTTGAGATAATCTCACTGGAAAGAGAGAAAACTAATACATGCTCTTCCTATTTCAGCTGCTCTCCACCCCAGGAGTAATAGTTTGAAGTGAGCTTTTATATAAACAATAAACAAGTTATTCCTGGAGCATTTGCTTTGAGCTAGGACTGTGTGTAAGCGATTGGCTTTGAAAGTGTTGTCAAAGTATCTACCTTTTAAAATTAGACTTTGCATCTCAGGTTCATTAAGACAGCCTCAAGCAAGAGTCTTTTATTCAACCTTTCTTTAAAGGTATGAAGTGTAAATTTGATGAGTAAAAATAACTTGAGTGAGGAATGTCTAAAAAAATGGAGGAATTAACCACAGGGATATTTATGCAGCCTAGGAATGGATTTCAATACACCTCTTTAACGCCTTTCTTCCTGTTGAAATCTCTCCTTCCTGTTTGCATACTCTGTTCAAAAGATTAAAATTAATCCTTTAAAATGGGAAAAGGATAAAATGGATCTCTAGTGATGGTGCACATCTCTTTTTGCAATTTTTTATGCCAATTTTTCTGCACAGAGAAGACAAACCTACCATTTGTACAGAGTTTGGGAGAAGTATTTGATATGATTTTATTTTCTTCTCCATTCTTCAAGGTAGCTTAAATTCAATCACTTGGATGCAAATTATTAATCTTGGAAGGAGCTTGTCACAAGTATTAACATTATAGCATATATGTGTGTGCTAGTAGCAAATCACACTGTTCCTGAGAGCAATAATGATATAAGCCAAGGTTTTCCATGGATAGTTATGAACAAGTACTATCTGTATACAATTCAACAGAAACCCCAGGGGAAAAAAATATAAAGAGCATAAGCCTTAAAGCAACAAAAGCAGAATAAATAACTCAGAGAATTTCTTGAAGCATTAGTAACTTGACAGCACCTACTTGTTCACAACAAAGCTATGGCAAGCTCAGTGTTTTCTGCTGCCGCACTAAATAAAAAGTGGATGCTAAATCTCAATTCTTAAGAACAAATGACAACCTTTTAGAAAGTGCTGTAGTTCTAAATGTCCAAAAAAAAAATGAAAGTGATTTGAAAATCACATTGCATAGTGTTCTCTTTTAAGGGAACATGATCTCTGGTGCCTTTAATAAAAGCTGTGTAACAATTCTTTAATTCCCTGTGATTTCAGCCTGGAAATGACTGCTCTACTTCATTCATCTGCCATTACTTCTAACCACAAACATATTAAGTTATAAAAAGGGGACAAATCAAGCTGACAAATCACTTTTAAACAGTTCTGGAAGGTGAGAAAAAAATAAATGGAGAGGAAAATGTTCAGCTTTGAAGTATCTACCTCATTTTTTCATATCTGAATTTTAAAGGCTATACAATACTACTTTTCACAAAATGACACTCACTTTTGAGTGACCTTACAGTAAACAATCAAGGTATTACTATAAGAGCAATTATTCAAAATGACAGAATCAGGCTCCAACACCTCTAAAACTGCCTTTAATTTCTCTTTCAGACAAACAAGTATTTCAGATAACTAGCATTTTGATATTTGTCTTTTGTGTTGTTTACCATCTTAATTAAAGAGCTGAATATATTGGCATTCTAGAGCCAAAGAAACACTTCTTAGATGAATCACCCTATTTAATAAAATGTCCCCTTGCAAACACTGTTTTTCTTGATAAGTGCATGCACAAATAAAAGAATGGAAAATGGTAATTGTTTCGTTGAGATGTAAGGGCACACAAAGTGGTTAGCACTAAATAACCTGGTCATCAGCCCAACTAATCTACTGCGGTTTGTTTTCACAGCTTTGCTCTGAACATCAGTGCTGATGGTCTGACACTCCCTGCAGAGCCTGAAAGCGGATGGTAAGTCAAGATACCAGCCACACAAAGCTTCACCTGTGATGCCAGAGATTTGGAGGAGGGAGAATAACAGTTTGTACAAACACTCTTAAACTTTATTAGACCTTTTGCTTTTCATTTCTTTTTTTCTTTTCTTTTC